CCCCCCCCCCCCCCGATGAAAAATGACGATTTTAGCAGTAGACAGAGGTTGAAAGTTAGCTAGTTCAAACCCACTCATGATCTTTGATTACTACTAGTTATACATATAAGAGAGGTTTCATCAGCAAACTGGCTCAGTTTAATTTCCCTCTTAAAAAGCTTGATACCTTGAAAGGTTTTTCGTCGTTTTTTGGAAGCTACAACAGTATCTCAGCCACCAGAATAAGGAGAACACACCTCTTGACAAAAGTATTTGTTTTGTGTTAAGGCCATTGTTAAGAATGGATTTCTGTGCATTACAGTAGAAGGTTTGAACCCAGTGCTTTATGCTATTGCCAAAGTCATACCTTGACAAGGTTTGTTCAATAACCAACCATTCAACTGTGTCAAAGGTTTGGAGCAAAATGCCATGAACGTTCTGTAATTCAGTTTGCTGAAGAACGTCATTTATCAATCTGATATTTTGACCAATGAATTTATCTTTCATGAAGCCGGATTGGTCACAATGCAATAAAGCGTGTAGGACTTCTTTAATTCTTGATACTATAGCTTTTGAAGCAATTTTATAATCCATGTTTAATAGAGTGATTGGGTGCCAGTTTGATAGCTCAAGGAGGTTGGATTCGTCTTTCAGGAATAGTGTAATAACTCCTCTCCTCTGATAAATAGACAATTTCCCATGGAAAGAAGCTGTGTTGAGAATTGCAAGCAAATTTGGCGCAAGAAGCTCAAAGAACTGAACATAAAATTCAACTGTTAAACCGTCTTCCCCAGGGGGCTTCCCATTACTGAACGTTTTGAGAATCTGACAGCAACAACATACACTTTATTACGACATCATTACGACATTCTTCAACAGTTAATTCACCTTCCAGAGTATTTTTATCGACTTCAGACAAATGCGCCAGAACAACATTTGCGACAAAACTTTCGAAGAGTTCTTCGGAACCAGAATATTGAGAGGTATACAGATCTCCGTAAAAGTTCTCACTTTGTTTTAGTATTTCACCATTGTTGATGACTGTTTTATTTTCAGAAATCTTCAGTTCAACTATAATTTTTTGTGTAAAAGTTTTGGCCTTCAAGTCAAAGAAATACTTTGTCGGCTTCTCGCCTTGTTCCATCCATCTCAGTTTAGATCTAAATATTGCACCCTCACCTCTTTGATCATACTAGTGTTGCAACTCTCTTTTTCAGTTTATCGAGCTCTGACTGTTTAGACACCAAATCCATCTGGGAGCCAGTACGGTTTAAAATTATAGTAATAGTAGCAGTGCAGTAGCAGTAGCAGTAGCAGTAGCAGTAGCAGTAGCAGTAGCAGTAGCAGTAGCAGTAGCAGTAGCAGTAGCAGTAGCAGTAGCAGTAGCAGTATT